CATGCGTTTACACACCTACCCCACATATGCGTGTTTGCTCAGCTACAAAAACAACGACAGAGATATGCAAATGCCTTTCGCCATACAGACCGGCCGTGTCAAAAGATACAGACAAGTCTGTCTATATACATACGTATACATCTGTGGAGCTACAAAGCCAAGCCCGTCTGTTTGCGTGCCCAGTAGATATATACATATATATACATGAAAATACTGAGATAACCTTTGTATACTGGAATTCAGGAGAGCGGCGCCTATGTGTCGGTATTCAATACGCCCACACCTCCACTTCCCTCTGCTTTCTCCACCGACGAGTGTCGTGTTAATCCTTGCAGCAAGTACACAGGCGTGTACCTACCACGGAAAACGGCGTGTATATAATTATACAGATATGTGCACAGAAAGCGAGGCAGAGAGAAATTGATCTGAGTATAAATGTCTTACCAGGGGCGCCCATACCCACAGCGTAAGGCTGTTGCTGCTGTTGTGGCGGTCTCGTGTTGTCGAATCGTCTGCGGGGTCCGCCTGTGGGGGGCCTGCGTTTGCCTGTTGTAGCGGGCGTATTATTAGTACTATTAGTAGTATTACTAGCATTATTAGCTACCCCCCGATTACGAGAGAATCTACCCCACCCTCGTCCTTTTGGCTTTACCGGTTTCTTCTTCTGTACCTCTTTGTTGCGGCGTACAACCTCCCAGTTGCCTTGTTCATGCCCCCGGCGTTCCTCTACAATAGCACCTACCGCTGCTTGTACGCGCTCTGCATCATAATCCGCATTCTTTACAAGCAAATACACATCTTTCCTAGTGAAGTTGAAAAATTCGAGAAGTGGATGCACATCGTCCACCCACTTCATGCTTCTCGGAGAAAGTAATGTGAGGTTTATCTCATCCGCTCCATCACCCCGTCCACCACTATTGCCGTTGCCGCTACTCTCACTACCCCTAGCGCTGCTGCTAACATCTCCGCCACTTCCGCTGCTACTGACGCCGTCCGTGCCGCTTCCTGCGCTGCTATCACTGCTGCCGCTTCTACTGCTCGGACTGTCACTACTGCTGCTACCTCCTACCTCATCATCGCCTGCCTCCTCACTACTACGACGCTGCTGTATTATGTTTATGCCCTTGCTATTTTGTTTGTTTCGGTTGATAGTCGCACTACTACTACTGCTGCTATTACTGCTATTAGTCGTACTATTGCTACTGCTGCTATTACTGTTATTCGCCGTACTACTACTATTGCTGCTATTACTGCTAGTATTGCTACTCTTCTTCTTCTGTGGAATTTTCTCCTCAGACGTCTTTTTCTTGGTATCCTTGCCAGTGCCGCCAGCGCTGTTACTGCTTCTTCTTCCTCTCCCAGCAGCTCCTCCCGTTTCCTCCCTCTCTTCGCCTTTTTCTTCTTCATTTCCTTCTTCTGCGTCCTCCCTCTTCTTTGCTCCTTCTCCTCCTCCTCTACCTGCTGCTGCTTGTGCTGCTCCATCCTGTCCTTCGTCCGCCACCTGTGCAATCGTCGTACTACCTCTTCTTCTTCCTCCATCTCCTTGCCTGCTCTTGTGGCAAGCCGAGTCTTCATCACCTTTCACTAGCTGCTGGCCGCTCTTCCCAGAGCTACGTCCTCCCTCTGTGTGACTGCTTTTGTTCTTCCCTTTCTGTTCCTCTCTTGCTGCCGCTGCTGCTGCAGGAGTAGCAGTCGGAGGCGGTCCGCGCGATTCTCCTGCTTCTGCTTCACGGCCGTCCGCTGCGCTTTCATTCTCCTTCGCGACTGCGGCAGAAGAGGAGGACGAAGATGACGGGGATGATGACGAAGACAGCAGAGATAGATCCGGGGATACCTCGTCCTCTTCCTGCTGCTGCTGCTGCTGTCGCTTCTTTGATACGTCCCGGGGCTCGTCCGCAGCTGCGGTACCTCCTGTAGCTGCTGCTGCTATTGCTGCTGCTGCAGGGGTCGCCTTCGCCACCCACTCAGCAGCTGGACCACGTCCTCGCGGGCTATTCGCATTACTTCCGCTGCTGTGCCTTGCTGACTGACACTTCCCGCTGCTGCTGCTGCTACCCTCCGTAACCTGCTTCCCCCCGGAGCGACCGCGGCTCGATAATGCTGACGCTTTACCTTCTACTCCGCAACCTCTGCGGCTGCCCTTACTACGAGGCTGGTGCTGCCGTTCCTCTTCCTGCTCCTCCTGCTTCCCATCCTGCTCTTCCTGCTGCTCCTGCCCATGCTCCTCCTGCTGTGGCTGCTGCTCTTTGACAGTTACCTTTGTAACTTCCCCACTTGTCTTTGTGTCTCTCTCCTCTTGCGCTCGACTGCCGCTGCTCTTTTCTTCACCATCTTCTTGCCTCTTCGAAGCTGTTCCGTCTCGAGAAATTCGGCCAGGGTTCGTGTTTACTGTCTCGGTTTCCTTTTTGCTGTCGCTGCTTCCGTCTACCTCCCCTTTCTCCACCGTCTGCCCTTTGCCGGCGCCGGGGCTCGCGCTCTGTTCGTCTCCTCCGCTGTCTTCTTCTATTCGTGGGCTGCGGCTAGTCGCTCTTACACTACTACTTCTGGATGGCTTCTTACTGCCTTTCTGTCCTGCGTCACTCGCGGTCCCTCTGCTTACATTATCGCTGCTTTTACTACTACTGTTGTTGTCCGTGGTGGTGAAGAGTCCGTCATCTTCTCTGTCCTCTTTACAAGATTGGCTGCAGTCGTCCTTGTTACTGTCGCGCCGTCGCTGCTGCTCCTGCTGCTGCTGCTGCTCCTGCTTGTCTGACTTTTCCTGCTTCTCCTCCAGAAGGGTTGCTCCAGCTGCCACTGGTGACAATTTTCTACTACCAGTCTCAACAGCACATGACTCTTCGTTCTCTTTCACCTGTGTACTACTAGTTTTAAAATCTTCCCCCCGCTGTTGCTGCACTACCTCATGTTCTTTTCTTTCTCCCTGTTGATCATCCTTCACTCCCACTGTTGCACTCGTCGGCTTCTCTACATCGTCTGTCTCCGTCAGGTTACCCTCCTCCTCGGTCGTCTTCGACTTATCCTGTTGCTTCTGTTGTTGTTGGGGTTCCTTGTCCTCCTCATCCTCATGATGGGACGCAGCAGCAGACGAGTGAGACGATGAAGATGATGATACGGTACTAGGAGAGGTACCTCCCGCAAGCATCAACTGTTGCTGCTGTTGCTCTGGCTTCTGCTGCTCCTGCTGCTGCTGTTCTGGCAGCTCCTGGTTCTCCTGTTGCCCTGGAGTTTGTGCGTATTGCTGTGGTGACTGGGGCTCTGTGGCACCTCCTGCTGCAGCCGAAAGAGAAGCAAGAGTTGCGGCTGCTGCCACAGCTGCGGCAGCAGGCGCCAGCGGAGGACTGGAAGGCAGCTGCACGCGACCAGTCTCGCTGCCAGGCAGCAGCGCGGGTGCTGCAGCCACCGTCTCCTTCATACTGTAGTTGGGACGTCCTCGGCAGATGTCCACAATATATCAGTAAACAACAGCCAAGAGGCACGCCGTATTACCGCAGAAGCTGCATAACATACAGCAGCAGGAAGGGCTTCGCGAATAGCGGGAAGGCGGCAGCACATACACTCACCACGTCCGTGATTGAGTATACATACACAGCTAGATGAATCCTGACCCCATATACACGTACATACATACGTACACTTACGTGTATCGTAGGTTGACTATCTACTGCGGAATATATCAGCACCTACTGACGCACCCACGGCGCCGACGCAGCAGTTATCGTGGTACGGGGCTCGCACCGCATCAAGAGAGAACGAGGTACCGCTGCTGCTACTGCTGCTTGCGCGCCTGCAGGCACAAGAAAAAACAATACGGTAGACTCTGCTACGGGGCCGACGACGGAAAGAAAAAACCTTGCACTGGAAGAGTAGCTCTATGACAGCACGGAGGAAGGGAGTCTCTTGCTATAATAAACGAACATGCTGCAGCAACAGCCCACGGTAGCACCACGTCTGCGGGTGGTATGCCTCTGGGCGCGCGTAGTATGACTGAAGGTAATACAGAGTGTCCCCTTCTCCGCAAATAAGGCAATAAGCGAAGAAAGAACTGAATGGAAATGCGGCTTACCCCCTCCCTCCCCTATTACGCTGCCGCAGAAATTCGTCCGTCCGTTGTTGCTCGCCTACCACCTGCTACGACGTCGTGGTGGAAGCCGGCACGACGACCACGGGGCTCCTCCCCCTGCCTGTGATGCTGTTCCTCCTGCTTCGGAAAAAGAGGCGGCGACCCGGTAAAAGAGCAAACGATAGAACACGGCTAAGCAAAAACGAAGGACTCGAAGAAAGGGTAGAGAACAGATGAAGAGGGGAAGGTGGTCTTCCCGCAAAGCCGGGGAACACTCAGAAAACCGGACCGCACCGTTCTTATGAAAATCTCTTTCTACCCTAATTTCTCTGGCGCTGCTGTTCGTCTTCTGTTGCTGCAACTGTACCTAGACTGCTGCTACCGCTGCAACAAGAACGACAACGTCCCTCCACTGCGCAGACGTTGTTGCTACGACTGGTTTTACTACTGCTGCTGCTGCCGCGCTCCTGCTGCTCCCGCTGCTCCCGCTGCTCCTGCTGGAGGAGGAGGCGGACCAGTGGGGTGGGAAGGAGAGGGGGCCACACCAGGCAGAGGTAGCAGAAGCCGAAGCCGCAACCGCAGCAGCGCCAGCAGTAAGCAGCACCAGGACCCCGCGCGGTGCGAGAGAGCTCGGGAAACACCAGCAAGCTTAGGAGGAAACCATCTCCTCTGTTCCTTTTTCTTAGTTCTCCACCGGCTGTACAGCAGCAGGGGGAGGAGGAGGAGGAGGAGGAGGAGGAGGAGGAGGAGGAGGAGGAAGACGAGCAACACCGCAACAAGCAGCAGCAGGAGTACGGGCATCAGGCGTGCGGCGCGGAGTGGCAGCAACAGCCAAGCCGTAGTGGACATAGCACGATGAAGCTGTCAGTGGTAGAGCGGCCGCCTGTGAGGACGCATACCCACGCGGCAAGAAGGAACAACCACAGGCGGTTTCCGGCAAATACTATAGCACGTTACAATAAAGGAAAGAACGCCAGTGGAGGGTGTAGGATCAAGAACATAACGTCTGCAGACTACATGGGTGGCGCAGGAGTCACACAGATAATGAATTAGCACGTACGTTGTACCCCGTCTCGCAGGAAGAAAAGCCGAGGCGGCACTCGCTGTCGGGCAAGAGAGGTAGTCGCTGAATTCCCAGCACATTAATAGCAAAAATCAGCCGGCAGTCAACGCAGTAGTAGCAGTAACCGTAGCAGTAGCAGCCGTAGTAGCAGTACCAGCACTGGTGGGCGACACAAGCCCCACCAGCGTGGATGCTACAACCAACGGAAGGGAGGTCGCTGCTCTATAGCCGTGGGTACCTCAGGGCCGCACTTGTGCTTCGCAGACCCAAGCTGCGTTCACGCTACTTCCTTCAGTCCGCCTTCTTTCTAAACATAACAGAAAATCACTTGGGAACCCGCTCTCGCAGGGCCCTTTTAGCCCGTCTACAGAACCGAGAGTTCTAAGAAGAAAGCCACCCATAAATAGTAATACGCCAAGGCGGCTCTAGACCCTGCCGCTACAGGACAGCGGGTGCGCCTCAGCGCGCCCGTGCTAAGGAACTTAGCGTGAGTCGGACCTACAGGCCCTTCACTCCCAGGTCACATGGAGGTGGGGGAAAGCCTTTTCACAAACGATGAATGAGGTCGAGAGTCTGCTTTTTGCAAGGGGGAAGGAATTATTTTCTTTCGTAGCGAAATGTGCACGCGAGGGAAGCGAACCGTCTGAGTACTGGAGGGGAGGATGGTTCCTGTTGCCGCGCGGAACGCCACTGGCTAGACCTTGTGCGGGTGGCTCTCTCGTATTCGTGCGGCGCTTGCTGCTCGACTGTCGCTGCACCTGACAGCTCCTTCACGGAGGATATGCACGGCACCTACCGCGGCGAAAGTTCGTGAAAACCTTGTGACGTAGGGGCAGTACTAGCGGCAGTAGACGTGTTGCGTCCCCTTGAAACACACGTTTATCGACGGCTGCAAGAAGAAAATAAACGTGGTGTCCCGCTCAGGTGGTGGAGCTGGCAGAGCCGCTGTGCTACCGGTCCCAGTCGAGGAGGCCTCGGCAGCTTCGTGTGGTAGGCGCTGTGGCTGAGGCGATGGTGGCCTCTTTTTCATTTTTCGTGCTGTGGGTGTATTTTCGTTCCCTACCGCTCGGACGTCTTATAGTGTAACGCTGCGACCAGGGGAGGAGACGCTTTGCACGGGAGGGATGTGCCGCGCCTTTGTGAAGCTGTGGTGCTGAAGAGCTTCCGGCAGTGTCCAATGCGGGAAGGTCTTCTGAATGTGAGCTTTCTACTTGGGTCTCAGCAGTAGATACTGTTAGGCCGCATACCGTCGTTCTCTCCCGTAGGACCGGTACTCGGTGGCGGTGTTGACAGCCGGTTGACGCAGCCACTGATGCTCGAAGGACTGCAACCGCTCTTCCGTGGAGAACGTGGTCTGACGTGAGGACAACACGATAAGGTATGATGCTGATGGTACAGTGGCACAAAGGACCGGTTTTAGAAGGAAGCACCGCGCGTACTGGTGCCAGTGCAGCATCAGCCTACAATGCACAGGGGCCAGACCGAATGCCTCAGGGTCGCAGGGCGCGGGACGTGATGCGCAACTGGTGCTGCTTCACGTGCCGGAGCTGAAGTTGAGCTTGCGCTGCTCGTAGGCCTACCGCGCTGCTTTTGACTCGCTGCCTCAGCTCTCCGCTTGTATGGCACTTCTTCAGCACTGTGAGTATGTCTGCTAATAATCCTCTAGCTGGCGAGTCCTTCCCGCCCACGGCAGGTACCTTTATGTCTCACTAGGTGTAGGACGCGCCGGGCTAGCACCTCTTGGAGCGTAGAGGAGGGTATGCGTGAGAGGCATATCGACCCGGTGAACCCTCTCCAGTGCGCTCATGGTCGGTGCGTGCACGCAGGAAGTGGCTGGAACGCGTTGCTCAAACTATTGAGCACGTCCGCGAGGCCCTGAAGTGGATACACGTGACGCTGGCTCGACGAATTGATGCTACTACACTCGAGTATCGGCCTATGCGTATCTCCTTCCGACGATAGTACACACCTTCGAGGAAGCTTGTGAACCTGAGAAAGCCTTGACTCCCTCGTACACCTCGCAGCAGCCTGCAACATTTAAGACGGTTCTGGTCTCTGCACGCAGCATTTGAGTCCTACTGCTTTGCTAGGGCTTCACTGACCACAGCTGCGACCGCAGGAGATTAGTACCCTTATTTATTCTCGTGCCGCGAATGGTCAAAAGAAATGACTCTCTGGCTCAGCACACTCCACAGCAGGCCACTTCGCAGGAATTTCATGCGTGTAAGTAGCGTCGAAGTCCTAGTGTGCTCGCCCATCATTGGACTCAGCTGCGACAATACGAATCTGATGATACTAGTTCTCGGGCTGCTAGTAGCCGACGACGACGCTAGGGTGCAGGCAGGGGTACACTGCTGCGAGGACGTCCGCGACTGCCACTGCCTCGGCGGCTAAGTCAGTACACTGGGGTCTGCGATAGGCCCACCGTGCATGCAGACGGGAGAGCGCGCCGCTGTGCAAGCGTGCATACACACAAACGGACGTATAAGCACGGACGGCGGGGAGTGGGGAGTTAGCTGCACAGTCATCCTGATAGTCACACACAGGGACACGGGTATAACTAGGCGTCCCTGCACAGGAGCGTCGACATGCTTCGCAGTGTAGAGGCTGTCGCGTGCCAGCAGGCCGAAGAGCGAAGACGTCCGCGCGATCTGTGCCTGGACGATAGTTCACACCGACTGCTGGTAAAGGTACATGCACGCAGCCGGTGATCCGGACAACTGTGGGCCACTATCAACAGAGGACCACTCGTTTGAACACTTCGGCGCACGTGTATTCGCCTCAAGTTTTGTTTGAGATCAGTAGTAGGTATGCTATCATTGTTCACGCGCACTGCGGGGGACACACAAACGATTACCCGCTACTGCGTCACTGCCATTCCTCGGAGAGGCGAAATCAGCGCGGCAGGGACTCTATGTGCTTCACAGTGCCGGGGAAAAGCTACCCTTTTATAGCTCACGCAAATATGACGGTGCATATGCAGGAGGCCGGTGGAACGTGTCCGAAGCACAAAGCTATTCAGAGAGAAAACCCTCTTTTCTCTAAGCGTGCGAGGCACCGGAGGTTCAGGGGGCCATAGCATACCGATCGCTAAGCTCCAAACGGCCCTCGGGGGGGATACACGTGAGCATATGTGCTCCGAATGCAGGCGCACTACAGCGCTACAGCTACGCCTACGCTCAAACGGTCGCTCTGTTACCTCCCACCACAACGTCGCAAGAAACGCAACGGATGGTAGCGTGCAGACCAGCGTGCGCAGGAACGTGCACGTCGCGTTGTGAGTGCTGCAGTCTTGAAGTGACTAGGACACACGGTAGGACGGTGGAAATGTGAGTTGCACCCGACGATATATATACACACGCACATACGTATAAATACATATGAACGTACACACATATGCAGTCACGTACATGCGTATACGTGTACGTTCATATATACATATATATATATATAATATATATATATATATGCACGTCAACTTTAATGTGGTGAGCGCTGCACGTGGACCCTGCTACGACGCACGGTGCAGCAGCAGAAATGTGGGTTGCATCCATTCGTAGCGGCGGTCGGACACGGATGCCGTCCACTCTTACGGGGGCGCCCACAGGGAGCGGCGCCGGCATGACGAATCGGAACGCTTCTGACTGCAGGAGCAAGTGGTGGAGGACGAGCACAACCCTGATGAATGTTATGTAAGACTCGTCACATTATAGAGGGGGGAAGCTAGTTATAACGCGATCGGAATATTCACAGGGACTGGGAGAGACGGGAAGGGAGGTGGAAAGCAAGGTAGTCCTGTTCGTACAGAAAAGGGGGTTCAGTCGTTGGTTTCACGATGGAGGAGCCCCATTGTCGGCTGCATTAGCCGCCTTCAGATGCTGAAAGACGAGTAGTGCCTGCAACCTAGCGCTGTTTAGTATGAGCTGCATGCCAGCCGCGTGCGTGCGTCACTCGGTGACGCCAGTCGAAAGCCTACTGGAGGCCAGCGCTGACAGGAAACGGAGGTTTCGCAAGTAGCAGTCAGTGCTAATCCGGGATGTATGCGAGAACAACACCTGGAGTGCACTGAAGAGCAGAAGTGTGTCGGGGGAGATGGTATCGACGTTTCTTGTAGCAGCTCTGTGTTGCAGCTGCGAGCCTTCCAGAGAGAGCGAGCCGCGTCGAGAATTGGCGTACTCGTAGTAGCTCGATGGAAGTACCAGTTGGTGGCAGGCAGGACCGGTGCTAGCATGAATAGCTATCCCTCCCAGCAGCTGGGCTGGTTCTTAGAATGCCAATACAGGGCACACCACGCCGAGTAGTAGCTGCCTATCCGACTGCGTAGCGCCTGCATGAGAGGCTGTACTGCAAGGGTAGCACGTGCACTAGAAACACTTTTAAACTTTCTGTCTGTAGCTCTAGCGGTCAAGGGCTAGGTGAACGGCAATGTTCAATGCCATTCCGTGAATAGCAGCATGCCAGTTGGCTTCAGCCTTTTTGTGGTTGTGCTACATATCACGGTTTGCGCACCATACTCAACAGGTAGGAGCCTTGCTCACGTGCTTTCGGCAAAGGAAAGAGCCATCTTCTGCATTCTCTGCAACCTGTGCACAGCGTCTCGGCACGTATGTGGAGGGTATGGGAAGCAGAAAAGGACGTTGAGAAGAACAAGGGTGGCCGCTTAGTCACCGCTGGGGGTGTGACTATACGCCTCGAGTCATACCTGAAGATGTGCAGCATGCAGAAAACCGCCGTGTACGGGCCTGATTTACAAAACACCAAGGTGGAAGATACACACATATGTACATATATACATATGTGTATATATATTGCTCGTATACCTCTTGACGGCGCGTACAAAGGACTTCACATGCTGGTGCCTAAGGAAGTTGCCGTGTCGGTCGGCTGACGCGCGCAAATAGATTGGTACATGATAGCACAGACGTAAAAAGAAATAACTGGCTCCGCGGCAGCAGCCGCATGACGAGGATAATGTCGCGTTTCGTCCGGTATTTCTCCCCCCGTCCGCGTGTCTCTCCGCTTCCCAGACGAGACACGCGCCTGCGGCGCGCCGACACCAACCATAGCACGTCAGACACATACGGATGTGAGAGCTCCTCAGGCTACAAGTAGTGAAGCCCACGTGCATACCACTCTCCGCAATATAAGCTGCTGCATAAGCGCTCGTCCTCTACGTCCTTCGGCTGGAGAGTGCCTTCCTCTCGACTTCAGCTCCGCACTGTGCGCGGCGGCAGCTAACACAGCACGCGGTCGTCCTGCAGTTTACATACGTTCTAGAAGGCACATAGTAAAATACCCTGTTTCTTCTCCGGGTAGAGCTGAATCTTTCCATCGTCTCTCGAGTCTTCATTTCTCTTCTTGTACGCTGTGCGTAGTAGCTCCGGTGGACTACCCGGGTGTCGCTCGTCCGCGTCACCTAGCCACTGCAGTGGGAAACTGTTCCCCTGACTGCGGCTCTTCGTTGTTCCTGACCGCTTGATAGCGTTTCCACGCATGTTTTTTCTCCCCGTCCGGCCTCTTTATTTTCCAGGTGTCCGCGCTACAAATAGCGGTACCCAGGGTCGATCGGCACAGCGGGGTCGGGAAGACGACCTTGACTGTCACATGCTTCTCACGAACTATTTGCGCCATCACACTCCGGCCCCTCTTGTTAGGGGTCGGGCCCTGGTTATTACGCTAGGCGGAAGCGTATCAGGAGAGTATTTCCGCCGGTCGCTGCCAGCTAGTATGTAAACGACGCTGCAGAGAAGCCCGCGGAAAAGTAGACACGCGTTCCTGTCAGACGCGTCTTGCTAAAAGTTCTTCGGATCTGTCCCTAAGGAGTACAGTCCGCATCAAACGTAGTGCACTGTAGCACTGACTAGCGGAGACAGGTCTGAAATAGTAGGCGTCTGGCCCTTTTCTGCGGGCAGCAAGGCGCTACTTTCACGATGCCGCGTCCCCGCAACCATAGCAACGAGATCTACGTAGAGATTTGCGAAGAATAGAGGCCGTCACGTAGCAGCCTGCACCGAGAAAGCGATTTATGTATGCGTGTTTGGTCCTCAATCCGCTCCCATGTCTACTGGCGAATTACACACTTGTGCGTATGTGCATGTATCTTCTTTACAGGAGACGCTCCTCCAAAAGCGCACCGAAGTGAGTGCGCTGTGAAACACCGAAGAGAAGCCAAGAGTATAAGTCCGCCCTGAAGGAGCCGTATTGGGACCGTCCAGCACTCGGCTTTCTGCGTACCTGTGGTGCTTCCTGTTTGCCTATTCACACACCGTCTCATAACTGCAACAAGGTTTGTCGGGCAGAAGGACGCTCCCCACGTCTTGCGTTGCGGATTCAGCCCTACGGTGTCTGTCGCCGCTTTCTCTCCCTACCGGAATCTAGTTCGTACCGCGCCACTACAGGACGCGTGTGTCGCCTTTACGAGTGTGCGTGCGCCTCGAGCTCTGTGCGTTACTTTTTTCATCCATTCGTAGGCAGCAACGGTTATACGCTTTGCACCGAGGGGCCGGCGTCCTGATACTCTGGTGTGCCTGCTGCGATTAGCTCATCATTGTCGAAACTGGCGTACGCGGCGGGGGCTTTGGTGCTTAGACCCCCCCTTCAGCCATGATGCTCCTTTGCATACACTCCCTCGACAGCAGGTGCCGCGTATAACTTCCCTTTTGCCTGCTGCCGCTCCTCCCCCGCGAGGAGTGCGCTGCAGCCCCTCGGCACTTCAGCGCCTTGCTGCATTTACTGTAGCCGCAATTAACTTCGTGGTGCGGCCAACCGCTCCACCGGTGTCGCCGCCGCTCTTGCAGCAACACGTCTCTCGGGCGCTCGTGGCGTGTACAGCTTCCCTTTGCCTGCTTCCGCTCCGGCCCCGCGCGGAGTGTGCTGCAGCCCGTAGACTCTTAAGGCCTTCGCTGCATTTACTATCGCCCTAGTTACCTTCCTGTTGTTGCCCACCGTTGTGCCGCTGTCTCCACCGCTCTTGCGGCCGCACGTCTTTCAGGTGCTCGTGGCGCTTCATGCCCGGTACACCGACACCTGCGCCATGCTTCTGGACGTAGTGCACCCTTACTACTGTGGCTGACATGTAATTTTGCTCCTTCCTCCCTTCAGCACCTCGCGTCTGGCCAACGCTTCCTTGGCGGCCCGGCTACGGTGAGGCCGCTTGTTTCCGTGTTTGATCCACGCAGCCTTCTGCATCTTCTCTATCGGCAGCGGGAGATATCGTCTTTCCATTGGTAGCGGAATAAACATGCAGCACGACAGAAGACACAGAAATGCTTTTTTCTGCCTGCCTTGTTTCGGAAAAACCGCTTCCCAGACGTGTTTCCGAGACGGCCACCAGCGACGGAGATGGGCGATTGCGCGCTGGAAACGCGAGACCGTGATGATGCTGCTTGCGTCAAGTGTGTGTCTTACGAGCATGCTAGCAGCGACAGCTGACGATAGCAATCCAGAGGAACAGCGGAGCGTAGACAGCAGCAGTGCAGAAGAAAACCTCCAGCGGAGAAGTCGAGCAAAAAGCGGCGCCTCCGCTGGACACAATAAGCCAGAGGTCCAGCCTGCAGGTGCGGAGGGAAAGAAGAAGGGGAAAGCTGACGCGAAGCAACGAGAAAGACAAGAAGAGGACGATAAAGGGACACGTAAAAACAAGAACGAAGAGCAGCACGGAGAAGAGGACGGTTCAAGTCCACGGCCGAGATGCGCACAGACCTCAGAGACGCCGTCAATGGCGCCATTAGCCTCATTGCTGGTAAGAGCGAAGAAGATGGGCGAAAAGCGGAGGACACGGAGGAAACCAGCAATAACAAAGGGGTGGCACTGTCAGGACGAGAATTCCGAAAGAACCCGTAGATATAGGCGCATGAGAGGCAGTACACTTCGAAGTTAAGGGCTGGTTCAGAAGAAAAGCACGTGTCAGCCAGCGCTCGAAGAGGACCACATCTGGGATGATGCCGCCTTTCTCGCTGGCGTCAGTCCTCTGCACTAGCGGTCGTACATGAACGCACACAGCCAGCAAACTGTACGGCGCTGTGCGCAGGACAGTGGAGCGCGGCATTCTCGCCGTTTCCAGCACGGCCTGTATGAGTGGCGGATATGGGGAAAAAGAAGAGGGCTCTGGCGCCCAGTGTACGCCAGCAAAGTATCTCGCTTGCCTTATCGCGCCCGCGTAACTGTTCAGTCATAAGAGCGGAATTCACTGTCTGCTACTTAATGGAGTCATGGGACCGGAAGGATCAAGCCGCGCACCATCTCTATACAGTACGTGTGCTCCTTCCCCAGAAGATCCCAGGCTAGCGCACAGCGTACCACGAAGCACAATGCAGCGCTGCACACGTAAGCGAAGCACATGCTGTTTTTCGCGCTGAAGCTCAAGGGGGGGGGACCTTCCGGGGGAATCTCAGAGCCTACGATGGTACGCGACGAAGATTCTATGTTCCATGTAGGCGGCTATGATGTAAGTAGTAGGGACGGGGTGCCTGCTGCAGAGTTTCCAACGAGATCCTGTCCAGGGCTGGCTCGTCAAAGGCGGCTACAGCTTGTCTCTAAAGTATACTTTCTGCCCCTAGGCGGGCTCCTGCATCTGACTGCCTGTGTAGAGGCGTATTTCCACAGCCGTATACATGGTTCTAGATGCACGTGGCTGCCGAAAGTGTGTCCCCAATTGTGCTAACTGACGTCCTCGCTTCGCTGGTATGGGTTGCCGACGACAACGCATGAGCAGACGCCAGAAGCGCCTCTCTCACATTGCGACATGCTGATAGGGGCATGGCTCCCGCGTTTCCACTCCTGCTTTGGCAGCTGTAGACGTACACAACAGTATATGTATTACAGGCCTTAGTGTACGTACCTGCCTTTGCGACGCTGTGCGGCCGCCTCGCTGCTGGCTTGTGCACAAAAGAGTACGAGGACGCTGTGGACGTAGGCGACTTTCGAAGGTGAAATGAGCAATATGCAGTGTACTGATGAGCCATTACGAATGTGTAAGTGTATAGGCGTGTGTGTGGGCGGCAGACGAAAGCTTCGCGAGGCTGAAGACTTCACGGGAGGCACCGGCGACAGAAAGGGGTAGACTATGTAGGACAGGAGAGACACATAGGAGTGCGGCACAAGCACAGAAAACATAGATGGCCATGGGGGGTGGCAAGCTCAGACGCCCAGCAAAAGTAGAGAGAGTGTGACGCAGCAAGCTTTAGAAGAGTCAGCGAAGTGTCGGCGAAGAAAACGGAAACCTGCGTGAGGGGGATACCGAATGTGTTGGGAAGACTGCAGGCCCACACGTGTCTGCGAGTTAGCGTTCGTGTCGTCTCTCGCTCAAGGTCTGTGTGTCCGTACGGCAGTACGAATACGCGCACACCAAAAGAGGAGCAGGTGCGCACGCTGTGCCTTGGAACCATCCTCTCTTCTATGTACAACTCTACGAGTCTGAACCGCATCCGAAAAGATGTCTCCTGCATGGATCTGCCTCTTGGAATACAATCGAGGGAGAATATGAAAGGATGCGCTCTTGGCAGGCATTGTCTGCGAAGGTCCCGCAGAGCTGTCGAGACAGAATTGACAGCCGCGTGCAAAATCAATAACGTTTCTTCACTTTAAGACATTACACTGAAGACCAAGCACTTAGTTGCCTAGCAATATTTGAGGGGTCGAGCTACTACTGGTCACTAAAAGCGGAGGCTCACAGCCAAGACTGTGCTCCCACTGTGCGTGCTGCCCGTTTCATCCTTCTGTACTCGCCGCAGCTTGCAATAACATCACATGCGTGATAGCTCTAAAGCTGGAGCTGTACACGCGTGCACAGCAGCGCAAAAGAGAAACGGTTACGTGTATACTGTGAAGAGACGTTTTAGTGGATCAGGCCCGCATGTGTACATACCGCCGAGCGCAGCCGTAGTTTCCTATCAGCGCTCGTGTGGCGTGTGCTAGATGCCGCCGCAAGGCAAGACGACAGCGTACAGCCTGCAGAAGACCCGGTACATGGACACTCTTTAAGTTGCTGTCACCTTCGTGTAGGAAGTGGGACTCTTCCTAGTTTGCTTCGTACTGAGCCGCTTTAAAGTTCAGGTCACTCCTCATCTAGTGTTTGTGCTACCGGCGAGTGCTGACAATACGTGTCTGAATGGCTCTATTCTGCTAGTGCACGACGGACGCGGTTCGTGTCTGTTTGCATATGTGTATACCGTGAAGGGAAATTTTAGTGGATCAGGGCCGCATATGGACATACTGTGGAGCGTAGCGGTAGTTTCTATCAGCGCTCGTGCGACGTGTGCATCAGGCGGACGCCGGGATACCCCCTAGATTGCTGTACAAGCGTTACCACTTCGTTCAGCTCCAGTCATTTTATACTACGCGCACAGATTTACTCGTGAAGTTACGCATACAGCTTTTGCGTAATGGCGTGGGCCATCATATATATATATGCATACATTCTTATGTTATCGTGTATGTATGTATCTAATCTATCTAATATGATGCTTGTTGCCCTCTGTGTGTGCTGGCGTCTTCAGTACTTCAGTTGTCGATGTGCATCGACGACGTAGCCGAGGAGCTGTATTATGGAAGCGTGTTAGGCAAAGACGTGAACTGGACAAAAAGTTTGTTGCTGCCAGGTTGAAGCAGTGAGATTGTGAGACTGCCTGCAGCTCTTTACCAAGAGGAACGGAGCACAAACTTTCTTTCTGTTCTCCTGAAGTTTCTCCCCATAATAGCAGTTTCAATATGCAGTCTCGCAGCTTACTTCCATGATCCGCTCACCCCTGTCACTGTTCGCGGACGCACCATAATGCTGAAGGAACCGCTTCGTCTATACTATGAAAGCCCTCGCGCATAGTCGTAAACTTGCGCATGTACCCATGCAAAAGTACGTATCTATATGCAAGCTACACGTGATCCGTCTACAAGCGCATAGGCATATGCGTGTGTCCTCTATAGTTTAGTGCGTGGAGCGCGTACGTCCCTACACGGCGCCCCATGTATTTAAAAGAGCCGGCTGAGGCTACTCCTACATAACAACTCCTTGGGGGAAACATGCCTCGCACGCGGTCATCCTCTCCGGCCGTTAACGGTCGTAGCTGATGCAGGCGTAAAGGTACCAGCTATATGTACGTGTTTGGCCTGTATGCAAAACGATGGGCGGATCGGCTGTGTCACACGGAGGAATGGCGCGTGCCTTCGGGCAGAAGTATGTCGATTTATGGACAAGGACTCTCTCAACGTGCATACCTATATATATCCGTAAGCCTTTCAGCAGTCCCTGCAGGATGGTATGGGCGCGCATGCGTATGTATCTTCGCCGCCGCTACATCCTGAGACGCACGTATGCAAATATATATATATATATATATACATAGATATATATGCACATATGTATACATATATATATCCACGTATTTACATCATGGCGGCAGTACACACAGCGTCTTGTCTTGCGCCGCTCGCTTCTGTGTTACCCATCGCCTTGCTGAATCCGTGTTGCAGAAGGTTTCGCAGCTCCCTTCGTTTTTTTTAGATTTTTTTGCTCCCGGAAAACCAGCCACCTCCGCGTCTCGCGCGGTTCTTAGTTCTGTGTATCTCTCTGCCCAGCTACCTTCTGTAGATCCCGCTTCCACTGCGCTTCTTGACAACTCGCCGCATTTTCTTAGGTGCGTTCTCATTTGCATCTCTTTGTCCTCCTGTCTTTCTTCCCGGTCCTTTGCCGCCTTTCCCTCTAAGCGTCCGTTGCAGTGCTCCTTGCCACCCTTTGTATGAAGTTTTTTCTTCTTCTGCTCGTGCGACATGCCCGCCGTGCCTCTGTACGCTGTTTCAGTGCTACCGGCGATCACACATAGAAAGGTTTCTTCCTTTTTTCTCCCCGCCAGGTACCCGCCTCCTTGTGGAACACTTGCTCCGGCTGTGGAGCAGTGTTCCGTATGTACCTATGCTCGTCTGCCCGTCGTCACTCTTCCCATATAACCCGACGCTCCCCTGGCCGAAGCGTGAGAATTTAAAAAAGGGGGATCTATTACGCGATGTACTGGACACCGGCATTCTCACGGTCGCCGGCGTCGGCGGCGCCTCCCTTTCCAGTGGGCAAGTGCAACTTACCGTGGCAAAAGACCGGGGAGACGAGGGGAACTACAACCGAGCCGAACCCACAGGTGAGACCACACGCCGACGCCGCTCAGAGAACCAAGTAGAAGGAGATTGGGCTGCCGCGGCACGAACTGCAGAAGCGCAGGCGCCGTCCAGAGGCTGTCGCAGCCCCACAGTCAATTGAGAACAGCACTTTACACGTGTGTTTACGCGACAGCCAGGCGGCTGCCGACTCAATGAGCTGCCAACGTGTACGTACATTAGTGCCGGAGCTATGGTACAGCGGCGGCACCCGGGAAGCTCCCGCGCGCTAACTGAACACATATGAAGCCAGGAAAGACGCAGACGCCACCCAGCCGTACTCTTCCATTGTTGCCCTACCTGCGCGCACCACACGTGCAGACTGACTTGTTGTTGTTGAGGTGCTGCATTTTTCCAAACGTATCTGTAAAAAGCGCCTACTGCACAGTTCCACTCGAGGGCCTCCTCGTGCACATAATTGCAGACTGCGAGCGTACTGCGCGAAAAAGTGCGGGGCTCTGCATGTGTCTTTCTGCCGGTAAAACCACTGTTTGCACATCAGCTACAGCATTAATGCGGACCTGCTTCCCTCGTGCGAGGCCGTGTCTATTGTAAGGCTGGAAGCCACGAACGTGCGCATAATCAGACCTTGTAGGGAACACAGGCAGACTGTATTGAAGTGTGTACGCCCTTCAATAATTCTCGCTCTCTTTGTCTGTGGGCCGCCGCTTTCAAACACGTCGTAGCAGCTGCACGTGGTCCCCGTGTGCCATAGACCGCTTTGGGCACGCACGCTGAGCGGAACAATCCTTCTCTCGCGCATCGGACCTCTCGGATTCAACGGGGATCTCTGGGAAGAGAGAGCAGACATGTCAGCCTGCGTGAAATACTTAGAGAAGAATCATAGGACACATTCTGCAGATGTGCTCTGCGGGTCCGGCGGCCCTAGTGCCAACGTATGCTCGCGTTCTTCGCTTACCAGCTCTCTATTCCTCTATCTTCTTGCAGGCGGAAATCGGTGGTGACTGAGGTCTGGACGGATGGCCGCGTGTCGCCTCGAGTGTGCTGGCTGAGTAGCTGTGCAGAAGCGCGCGCGTACATATGTGAAGACATGTGTGAAGGGAACGAGGGATGGGAGCGCACTGCGTAGAGTCCTTGCTAGACTCTCTTCGTTTGACGCTGGACGCCATGCATTGTTCTCTTCATGTTATAGCGTCTTCCGCGCCGGGTGCGCGTTCCCGTTGCTTTCGTCTGTATACCGGGTTCTAGTGCGAGACTCCCGGGTTTCCTTAGGCTGTCGTTGTTTCGCTTTTCTTCTTTCCCTGCTTTCTGCGGCGGCAGAGCCATTGCCGGTGTTCAGTCGGCTCGTCGCCTTCGTTCGCACTCAGTTTCTTCGTGCCTTTGCCGTGCTGGTGCTCTTTCATGTTTTTTTGTGAGGCTCTGTTTCCTACGCGTTTGTGCGACATACTGTCCGATGTGTTTGCCCTTCTCTCTTTCGCAAATGGCCCAGGGTTTTTCCCGGACTACCTGCGGGCCATCGCTGATACTATCGAGAAGCAGTACAACGCGCCTATCCGGGTCCGTTGGCTATTCTACCCTAGTGTGGAGAGCGCACAAGCGGGGGTGTTGCGAGGAGAGGCTCACATGACGGACATCTACTTTCTACTCGCTCATTCTACCCCGGGGGAGCCACAACCGTTGGCACACTTCTATAGCACGTGCCCGGTTGTGGGCTCTCCCGTGCTGCTTATTGTGCGCGAGTCACCATCCTTTGCTGGATCGGAGATCAGAGACCTCGTCTCTCTTAACCGGAGCATTAGCCGCGCGAAGACTGGTAGGGTTGCGTCTTCAAACGCATGCTCCCAAAGACCGCAAAGAAGAGGAGAAATTGAACGCAAAACAGATGCACAGGGATGTAGCAGGCATAAAGCAAATGAGGAGGAACGAGGTCGCAGAAGATGAATCCGGCCAGGAAGACTCGCGAGGGAGAAGGGCAACTGGACAAGCGGTGGAAAAAATAAGGGAAAGAATTTCACGGCTTAGCGAAATAGTTACGAAAAAGTGACCGAGAAGAGAGAAGACGTTGCGAAACAGAGAGGGAAACAAGGCCAGAGGCTCTCCAGAGATAACCGGCGCAGGGAGGAGCACGAAACAGAGTTCTTACCACAAGAAACGGCACGAGCTTTCACAAAGGGCTAAGACACCAGAGCCGACTGCGCCGGTTGCGAGAGCAGTGATTCTGAGGCTCTGCTAGAAAGCAGGAGCAGTGAGTGCGGGCTCTTGGTATACGCTGTAAGCACTGCACAGCAGCAGTAGAGCACAGGAGACAGCAAGTGCACGTTCCGCAGGAGCCGAGGCATCGCGCCCAGGTGCGCTGCAGCAGCCCGAATCAATACGCCCAAATTAGCGCTAAAGTACCAAACAAAGAAGTAGTCGGGAAAGGAGTAGGACGACGAGAGTGTGCTGAAGACGCCCGGCAGGAAGTGCCACAGACGAAGGTCCCGGTGGAGAGGAAGCACGCGCCGCTGTAATGACGGATGCTGTCGGTGCAGAGGAGGACGCGGTCGCCATGCGTTCAGCGCGAAACTAATACCAGCTCAGCGAAAGCAGCACCAGAACTAATGTGAAGCTGCGTAGCAGGGACACCGGTCGATTCAAATTTGGCGTGTACGCGACCATGGTAGCGGTGCAAGGTTGCTAGAACCGGTATAGAAGTCCAGACGCATTTAAAAGCTTATTTACACCTGCTATCTTAGCAAAAAAAGAGTGTAGGTTTATAGCCGTGGCTGCAGGAAGTCGCGGATCTCAGGGTGCGGAAGCACGGGTAAGCGTGCCGTAGGCTCGTAGGCGTTTGCACGCTTGCAGCACACATCAGGGCACCGGTGGCACAACAGTCCTGCTTGATTGACGGTACGTGCTCGTGCATTTCTCGAGGCAACTGCGATGACGTATCTCTAGGCGTTGTGTCGCCGCCTATCTGCATATCAGCAAGGCATTAGCAGAACCTCGTTCAGTCGCGCGTGACCAAGGGACCCGCACGCGCTTTCATCAGTGCAGAATCCAAGCTCTCTAGTCGCGCGCGCGAAACTTTGATTGTGCCTCCACGCGCGAAGCTGGGTGTTCAGCTCCATAAGGAATCATGCTTAGAAGCAACAATAAAATATATATGTGCGAGCACAGCGTGTCGCTGCTGTACCCGACACCCGTCGCTGTGAAGCACGCTCTCACATCCCACACTATATTCCCGAATATCTGACGGATATAGACGCACACAGAGCCAGCGACGACTTCCACAGTTGCCTGTGGAAGAAAGCCTTACTTCCCGCTGTTGGGTGTCCGCGTACACAGCCCGTGCTCAGGAACAATTGCACGCAAAGTTGCATCGGTACGAAGAAAGCAAAGTGAATGTGGGGACAGGAGAAGGAAGTGGTCTGCACAAGTGAGGCGAACGCATACACCCGACGTGTCTGACGCGTCAGCAGAGACGACGCAGCTGCTTGCCGCAGAGAAGGAGCTCAGCGAAACGGGTATGCCCATACTTCAAGAACAAGGTGAATAACTAGGACGACAAGAGCTATTCTCTCTCTGGGGCTTCTTTTGCGCTCTTTGTGGTATCAGCTGCCGACAGGCAAATCGTCTTTGTCTCATCCGAGCTCGCTACGACCGTGCGCCATTGCCTGTCCCCCCTGGCACTGACTGGATTCGCCGAGGACTGTAAGACCTGCACCGGCTGTTCCTCGCTCATGCACTCGTGTGCTTGCATTTACGCAGTTACGTATGCGCCGGAAAGTGCACTAATACAAATGATCAATTCCCGGCCTAGCGCAGCGAGCCTTCTTGTAGCCACACAGATGCAAAAGCTGTAGACACGAACACAGATGGAAGCGTATGAAGGGGTTCCCCGTAGTTCCGTGCCAAGCGTCGCTTATTTGTTTTCGGGTTGGAAAGCGTGGCCGTACACGCCAGTATCGGCGGCGGACCGCCAGCGGCCGGGTTACGGATTGCCGACCGCACGCGGATGCCTTGGAAAGGCTAGAAGTGTCCTTGAAACCACAGCGTTCTGTGCGCTAAACACGTCAACGAATGAGGTGAAGCATCTGCACGCCAGATCTGGACACATCGTGTATCTGCACCCGCACGTATGTATATTTGCGTCTACATGTGCATCCGTATAACACACCCAGGGGGCTGCAGTGCAACATGTCCCACGTGAAGAAGCCTCGATACCAGCACTTATATATACAAACGTCCGAACGTTCGCGTAACTCCAGCGGAATGTATGTACGTATATATATATATATATACACGAGTGTGTGCATATCCATATATATATATATATATATAATGTATAGATGCATCCGCGTTGTTAGTCGATGTTCTCAACGTCAGTGGGGGGGCCCGGGTAATATCTGATAGCGGCATAGCGTCCACGTGGTGCTATCGACTCATACATCTTAATGCGCCATCTTCCTTGCAAACAAGTGATCGCACATATACCAAGGAGACTCCTACCTATACAACACCGACCGCTCCGTGCGCATCTGCACACATAAAACCTCCGTGTGAAGGCACGCGACTATCGGCACGCCTGTTACCGGCGCGTATGCTGGCGGGCGCACGCATCTGCATATCCCGTCACACGGAAGTCGTAGCCACGGCGAAAACCTTCACACTACGTAGAACCCGCGAGTCATGTCTCCCCTCTGCGCGACAATAGTAGGCACGGCGTTGGTATACTTGCTCCCAGGGCATACTAATGGAGCTGGTCGGTACGTGTGCGTTCACGCGCGTGTGTGCGTGTAGACCGTCCTTTATTTCTATGTGCAACTCTGCGTCTCTGTGTAGATAAGCATGTGTGCAACTTGATGAAGGCGCATGTGGATAATGGTACGTACACACCTGCTGCGCGTATCTGGTTTCTAAAAAAAGGGCGGACGTGTGCCAGCCACGAGCGCACTGAGGGAAGGGACGTACTGAGTGCATAAAGTTAGGAAAATCGGCGGCGGCCCGTGTATGTCTAACGCTTTCTATCTCTTTCTCCCTCTTTCGCTGTCCTGTACGTGCACATACGTATCCCTGCACGGCCGGCAAGACAGAAAGAATTACAAACTGCACGTTGCACACCGGTAGGGGAGAAAAAGAGACGCGTACATGCTGGCCTTAGAGAGCAGTTCTGGCTGCTGGCTGCAGATGCTGTTAGTCTACAAGGCGCCACTCAACGAGCGTGACTGCGTCTGCAACCGCTGCCACGGTGTGTAGAAGACGGCGGCACTTTCTCCTGGAAAGTGTCTCACTGCTATAAACCCAATTTCCGCTACGCCACTTCAGCATCGCTGCGGCCTGTGTATATATAAATGCGCTCCTATTGACGCTGCAGTGTTCAAAGCACAAGTACGACTCCTGACACTGCCACCTGAGTCGTAGCGGTCGCCCGTCTTGTGTTACTGGGAATTCACACATACGGCTCACTACGGATACTCTCGCTAATCTTATTGGTACCACTGACAAGAATGGTGATAGTCACGTTCGGCCTGTCGACCCTCCTCGCCTTCCTGCTCGTGCTCTGGGTCATGATACTGCAAGAGGTACTCTACTTCTAACAGGTAGGTATGGCTCGCCATCAGAAACGCTGTGACATGCAAAGCAGAGCTGCGCTCCCTTGCGCGCCATTCACTTCGCGTGTGGTCGAGCGTGCACTTTTTTCCGGCAGCGCCGCCGGCACCGTGCGGTTCTCGCGCATACGCCGTACGTGCTGTCTCGGATCTCCTGCCTGATGCTCTCTCTGCCTTTTTTTCAGCGAGCCAAGCGGCCCAACTCGTGTTGGACGGAAATGCATTGGCGGTCATCACAACAGGAGTACTACCTCGGCTTCACCCTTTACTTCGAGTCGTGAGCGCTCACATACTGCTCGGAAAAGGCGCCTGGATTGAACGAACGTACTCGGTAGAGTGTGTTGAGGAAGAGCACGGGCTTGACTTGAGCGCGTATGCGAGAGAACGACAGCCCGAAGAGATGAAAAGAGTCTACGGAGGCAGCGCGGATGCGAGTGGGAGCAATGCTTCAGCGCAAGTCAATTTTGGCGTCGTGCTGTGTGCAACATGGACATTGCTCGTGTCCCTTCTTTTCCCTTTTTAAATCCGGGTAAAAGGCAGCGAGTAGCTGCTCTGCAGCTCAGACAGCGCCTGCGGATCTGGGCCCTGGCTGTTGTGCGGGCGTTGAATGTCTCAAGCTTTTAGTAGGGTATTGAGCAACGCACATAAGTGGGTGCACATGTCGTGAGTGTGGATATGTAGAAACTAGTAGTAGACTAGCTTTCATGGGCATATGTGCTTCGCCCTCCGGTTGCGTGTCACTGGTAAGGTGCGCGGAGCAAGGGCGTACGGGAAGAACGGCGTCAGTATGGTGGTCTGACAAGTGGTGCATATTTCGCGCTAGCGGGCTCATGATTGACCCTGAACTCATTCCGAAGAGGACTTTTGCGTGTAGATTTGTGGGAAGAAGGCCTGTTTGTGGGCGTCAAAGACTGTCTTCAGCGTGTAGGTCTGCAGGACAAAGGCATCATAGCAGTGTATTTCTTTGCCGCAGCGGGTACGCGACGCGTGACAACTTCGCGTAGTGCGGTCGTTTTACTGCACGTTCATCTAGCGTCACAGGGCGCTGGGTATTCCGCATCACAATGCCGTGCCTGTCGTAGCTCCTGGAAGGCAAGCTACTACATTTTCAAGACTTAGTAGCCGCAGGAGTGACTGCTGGCGGAGTAGCTGGGCCGCACACTCCGTAGAGGCCACATTGCTATTTGGTGCATTGTCGCTGCTGTTGCTGAGCGCCGCCGCTCTTCCAGGTCAGCAGCACCCGGAACTACAAACGCGGGAACAGCCACCCCGTTTGCTACGCTCCCTTATAGTTCGGCCGGCGTGCTCGTTTAATTTTCCCCGCCACGAATGTGAACCGTCTCCACAGATCGGAGTCAGTCTATGTCTGTCGCGTCTCGTCTTGCTTCCGATTGCGAAATGCGTGCTGCCAGGTGTGTGCGTGTGTGCCTTAGCGGTACAACATTACGTTAAACGCAAAAGCAGCGGAGCGACATAGGAACTGGAAGGCATATATCCGTGTGCACGGCACGGCACAGAGGCTGGCACGGGTAGTGCGAACCGAACGTCAACCATCTGTGTGCAATAGGTACATTTATGTGCGTGTGTGTATACGTGTACATGGTTCGTTGCGCCTCGGTTCGCTGTCTGTCGGCATACACGTAATCCACACACGATCGCAGTTGGTGTGCGCACGAGGGCGCGTCGGCGTGAATAACTCACAACGCGATAACGTACAGGACAGCAGGCAGTCCACTACGTATGCGCAGATTCGCAGCGCAGTTTGTGCTGAGCTAGCCCTGACAACATACGAAGGGTGCAACAGAAGCGTTTTGGACAGGAGCCGGGGCAGCTGTCGCAGTGGAGGGAATGTGCCAGGTAGATGAAAGGACCTCGAAGTCATTTTTATGGGCTATCACAAGCTAGCGGGATAGTAGCGATGGTAGCTAGCTCCAAAGAATCGCCGGAGAGCAGGCTGGAATTACTGGTGCGTTGACATGAGCTAAAACCCGGAAGGAGTCAGTCTGCAGAAGACTGTGACGTGTTTCAAACATGTCACGAGTATCTCTAGAGTGTGCACTTCGTGTGCGCACACGCCTCTCCACGGTGAAGTATGTCTAGCCAGAGAGTCTACCAGTAACTCATGGAGAGGAAGCGTTGAAGTTGCGACCAGTTCATGCACGAGAAACGACTGGAGATTACGCTTACTGCAGATGAATACTCCGCGATCCTGTTTTCACTGGCTCTTTTACGAACACTGGCGGATTTGCTAAGAGTTTGTGTGATGAGGAAAACGCGTCTGGGTGTCGACGACGACGTGTACACAAGCCTTCTGTTCATAAGTGGGGACAAATAACTAGCACGTCTCTGACGCAATTCCAGAGATGTCCCAGCAGACGCGTCCGTGGAGAGCAAAACCTCCCGGTGAAGGATGCTAGCGTTCTGGTGCCAATATAACCAGCACGCTGCTCGTGTACGGCTGTTGCTGGCGCCTGTCTAGGTGCCTCTCGCCGACACGGCGCCGCTGAGGGCTGATCCCGCTAGGAAGCCCGTGAAGAGAGTCCACACCGAAACAGGGTACATCTTACGTGCACGCGCACTACCCCCCACCACTCAAGTACGGGTACAGCTGCAGCTTGCCGAGGTGTTTCTTCTCCGCGGCGATATAAACGCCTTCATACATACGTGAGTACTACGGCTGCTGAACCAGAATGATGGGTGCAGTCCTCGTCAGCGAGAGGTCCTACCACTCCCTAGGGTATGGCTACAAGAGGCTGGGGACCCTTAACGGGGGAGACCGGGGCCAGAGCTAAAGCACGGCCGGTTACACCCGTCTTTGTAGCTGTACGCGAACACTGTGGGTACATCTGTACGCATATCATATGTTGCCTGGACCCTCTTCGTGCCTTGCGTTCACCAACGCGCGTACAAAAACGAATTGGATCATAGAGATGTCATCAACCACTTGGGTCTTCTACCCTTCACGTGCGTCTTTTTCCTCTGACGACACCGACTGGCACCTCGGCGAGCATCTTCAGTTTACTGATGCACGCACTACACTGAATACACAACTAAACGATAATATGTGCATGAAGGTACACACATATCACGCGTCAGGTCAGCACATTCAGGAAGGGCAGTATATTCCCGGCGCCCTTGATATGTGCTGCTACCTAGTTGTATATAGTTTCGCGCCCCACAACCGCCACGGGTGGCTTCTTTCGCAGCCGAGGGCCGCGGCGAAAAGCTTGTCTCAGTACGTTGGCCAGCCCCGCACGTGCGTCGAGGCCTGAGGGTACACGTGTGTACGTCGAGGATATCTGCGCAGGCAACTGTACCCACCTGAGCCCACGTAAGTGCTTAAGTGCTTGTGTACCACAATAACCACCGTGACTAACTGTGAGCCTGCACACCCAAATAAATACATGAGTATCCTTGTACGTATACATATATATATACGGACAACGGAGTGTGTTGTACCCTCCACGTACGCCCACAAGTGTATACACGTCAGTCAATGTCTACATGTGCATGTATACACACCTGTATGCATGTGTGGCCCCTTACCTAACAGGCGTGCAAAGCCGGCGCGCCCATATGGTTGAGGCGTATTTAAGTGGAAAGGGCAGCGGCCTTCCCTTCTTTAGAAAGTACACAGAAGCGTGAATGCTCGTGCCACGCGCACTTCTAAACACAATACTAAAGGCGTACACGTCTGTACGGGCTATCATGCGAGCGATGAACGAGTAAATATGCCACGATCATTTGCGTGCCCCTATGCGTGCACGACGCAGCGGCGCGGGTAGAAGCATGCATCGCTTTGTATAAACCTACATGCTTGTCGGTGGAAAGGTTTATCTCGAGAAAAAAAAAATATGACGTGCACTTCCACAGAGACGTTTACACGTGGATATGGGATTCAATAATATGGGTGTCTTCCTCATTGTAGCATCCCAATATAATATGTTCCCATGCTGCATTACACCCTGTATCACGCAAAGAACGCGCGAGGGACTCGCGACAGCGCCTCTCTCCTTCAACGCGCTGCGCTGCGCCAGTACCCGGCACTTCCTCGAGAGCGTTCCGAGACGGACTACAAGCGTACTTTCTGTAGTCAACTAGGCACCTAAAGGTAGCGGATTAGGACATCCGCTGAGGCGCTTCCGTGCAACTTAAGTTTGCACGACACCTACGAATCTACGAAGCGCGACAAGGTCCACGTACAACAAACCGTATACATGTCGGTACGCATCCGAGTCTATTCGGCCTCCTCCCGAAGAATGAGCAGGCATCCGCTGAATAGTGTATAACGATAATTTCTGATATGTGGCTGTAAGAAACAGGTACTTATACGCACCTGAGGGTGCTGCACGCGTATATGCCAGGATGATTTTGACGTACTGACGACGTCCACAGCTGCGATAGTGAGACACACCACTTGCCGCCTAGTACTTATTACCTACAGAGACATCACACGCGCCACTACATTTGCAGATATACACGTGACATCGTTCATAGGCATGTGTTTGCAATTAGAGCTATACAACGCAGCAAAGCACGTGCCGTTGTGTGAGCGCGCCCTCTTATACAGTAAGTGCGAAGACGGCGATCCCACGGCATTCCTTCTGCTGTAAGAGTGGCCGCCCAGCTATACGTTACAGAATTCTCATTTTTACAGTCTGCACGCATGAGGCTTTCAGACTTTAGCATCTACAGAACGTTCTGTGAAGGGGCCGCCCCCCAAGATCTACGGAAACTTTCCTCCGACACGCCGAGGCCAGCATGTGGTGAAGCCCGGCAGCTGTTCGAGTCATTTCCTTCACGCAGCAACAGCAATCGAGATTCCAGGTGGCATGCAGAGACACACGGTCTCCAGCAGATTCCTGAGGCAGCAGAAAGGACCTTCGAAAGGAAAATATACTTTGAGACAAGCACGTCCCATCCCGCCGGGCGTGCGCGCGGTACGCCTTTCGCGAGACAGTGCGTATACCGAGGCTTCTCCGCGTGTCCACACGCCTAGGTAAACATGGGACCACCTTGTCGTCCTCCTGCCTCTTCCCCTAGTCCCACTCTGTGGCAGACCTAGCGGCAAGGAGCTTTTTCATGCAAGCCCATTGCGCAATTTCTTTGCGCCAAGCTTGCACTCCGCCATCGTCTCTTTTTTCGGGTCGGTGGTCCGTCTCCTCTTATGTAGGCAGCCGCGGACAGCTGTCAGGCGTTTCACTCTGCCCGCCGCCCCCCCCCCCCTTAGCAGCGTACGGTTTCCCTCTTACGCCGCGCCTCGGTGCCGCCTCCTTATGTCCTGCACGTTAAATCTCCTCCGCTTCTGTTCGATCATGAAGGTTATGGAGACGGGGCTTTATTGCATGAGGAGCGCGTGCAGCTTTTGTGTCGTTTGGTTTCTCCTCCCTGTTGTCGTTTCGGGCTTCACACCATATCTGCGCCTACAAACCGGAGATCTACTGAAAGCGGAAGATCTTCTACCGAACGCTGGGTGAGGGGGCGTGGCACTCCTCCATTCAGAGTAGAGGCTATAGTGTAGACGAAGCCGAGGAAGACGATGCAACTGCCCAAAACAACGTCTATTATGCTCTTGTGGAGCACAACCAAACCGATAGCAACAAGGTACAAGCCTCTGCCTAAGGGGACATAGAAAAATTTGGCATATCCGAAAAACCAGAAGGCGCGTATATCAGCCAGGATGACGAGTAAGCCGAGCGGCAGTAGCATCAAATTTATTGCTAGCCGCAGCAGGTCAAAAAAAACCAGGCCAATGATGCCCGAAGCAATAATAAGTCCTGCAGAAAACAAATATAGGAGGCTGCGTAACACTACGCTGAAGGATGCGGAGGAAGAGTGGAAAAATTACGTGCACGTCAGTCGCAAGCACCCATGGGCAGGAGCAAGAAAGACATTTGCTACTGGTCGAGACACGCAAACTACAGGCGGAGTGGCAGCGACCAGCAGAGGCAAGAATCTAAGACTCATCAGGGCGTGCAGCAGCAGGGAGTGCGGCGAGCGAGCAGTGGCACCAGGCGGACTGGGTCACGTAAACAATATTTCCAAGAGCAGGGCTGTCCACTAGCAGAACGAACAGGCGGGCTTTCAAGACTCAGGCAGCAGCAGACGGAGTGGAAATCGCTCCACGCGTCAGGCAAGCACCACCAGCACAAGTACAGGGTGACATACTGCGACGAACATATCTGTAGAGTGCGAGACATAGAGCTGCATGTTGACACAGACGGTATGAGTCCGGTAGCCCTTTTGCCGTCTCCGTGATTGATTAGAAAGTGGGGACTAGCTGTCACGTGCAGAGACAAACTGGGAATGTGCGACGCTTCCGCTTCACATGAAGAGATATACACAGGTAGGCCAGCCGCCCAGGACCGCGTGCTCATAAGTGCTTCTCCGTTGTCGTCACGGTAGGACGTTTGTGTCGAGAACGTAAAGAGCCTTCAACGTAGTAAGGGCGTACAGTTGCGCGTACGAAATTACGCATCTAGACAAGGTTATAGGTACAGGCAACTCGCAAGCACGTACCGCCAGTCAGCAAAGATACAAGGGTGACACCGAGAGCAGGCAAGTAGAGCCTGTTGCAGCGTTGCGACAGGGCGTCCATTTTTTGGTGGTGCTGCTGTTGCTGCTTCTCCCGTTAATCCTGCTGCAGCCGCCTGGTGGGTCCTTCACAACTGCTGCTCGCCCCGCCGGAGCTCCTGCGGCGTTTACTGTTGCTGCATTTCGGCCGCCGCAACCGCGCCAGACAATCCGCAGAGGGCACCTTGGTGCTTTCTGAAACAAGGCACATGCGGCGCGCCCCCCCGAACGGCAACAACAGCAGAAGTTGAAGGAACACAGAGAGCTGCAGCAAAAGTGAAACGTTAGCAGGCACGGAAAGCACAGCTCTGGTGGTGACAGAGGCGGGCCGACGGACAAGACAGCCTGCACACACAACGTGCAGCAGCACCCCGCCTGTGCGCAGACACAGCGGGACAGCATCTAAACGGCCGCCTGGCAGCCACAGAACGAGCAACACCAGCAGCAGCTATAGCTGCTCAGAAGCCGCAGTACCTGGAAACCAACAGGCAGGCTTCTTGGAAATGCTGCGGCATTAGGCAGGACGGCAACGCCCGCTGCAGTACAAGGAATCGCGGTAGAGCACAAGCAACCGCGGCAGTGAAAGCGTGAAAAATGATAACTTTTGCCTAGCACCGCAGCGGGCCACGTCCTCGTAAAGCAGTGGAGACACGACACACATAGAGACGTACATCCAAACCAGTCATGTCCCCTTGGCTGAAGCGTACCACGAATTACACGTGTGTTCACCACGTAATCGTGGTTGCAGCTCCTCAACCTTATCTTCCTCTTCTCTACTACAGTAGCATACAACAATCCCACATCGGCCAGTACGTAGCACCGAGAGGATGGTACCTGCAGCAGGCGGCCCGCATCCTCCGAAAGGTAGACCGGAGGCATCTCTTACGTCTGCATACATGGGCAATACGCACGTTTGCCCTATGTCCTGCAGGAACGTGCGTGACGAAAACGATTTCAGGTGGGAACAGACACCTGTTAGCGCATGCGCCGGTTGTTATCCGCAGACAGACGCTGCAACAATAAATTTGCACATGCCTTTTCCCGTACACGTGTATACCTACCTATGCCTAGAGCAGTGGCAATACGGTGACGGGCTGCAGACAGTAGCAGTGTAACGAGGAGTCTTGCTAGAGCGCTGTACTCCGAGAACGCATGTCAGTGCACGAACAGGGATTTATGGGAGCGGGAATGCGTTCAGCAGCATTAGTCTGACGACTGCGGCGAATGACGCACGAACAAGAAGAAATGCTGGCAGAAACCTGATACGAGTTTACTGTTCTTTCCCTGCGCAGAGCGGAGGCACAGACCATATGAAACTGTTCCCCATTGTGGGAACGCAGAATCCCGGGTGAGACGACGCAGACACTCGTACCAGTCGGAGGCGCAGATAATCGCACGAGACTTCTTGGCAGGAAGTTTTCGTGTCAGTGAGCCGAGCGCATGATTCCGGTGCAGAGAGGGGGGGCCGAGACAAGACACATCGGGCTCAACTACCTTTTTGATAAAACACGCAACAGACGGCATGCTCGTACAACCGCCCAGTTTCCTGCGTACAGAACAGGGGAAGAATTCCGTCACTTTCTCGTTTTTTTTGCCTCTGCGGCCGTGCACGTCCGAGCGAGGACTGCAAAGCATAAGTGGAGCGTTACAGGAGTGCCGCGGTGCAAGCTCAGTAGCGTGCAGCAGGCATTCTCGTCTACGGAGACGAAGACGAGGGGGACAAAGGCCTGTGTCAGCGGAGCTGCATTTGGGATGCGTCATTTACAGGGCACGCAAACACTTGGCGAGTTATCAGCTGAAACAAGGTGGACGAGCCGTACAACGGGTTATGGGCGTGACGGACAGCTACGGACGCTTCGGATACGCGCACATAGGCGTAAGAGACCCCATACCCCCACACGTCAGGAGACGTATGTAATCGGTAGACGGCTGACATCTTCGAGTGGAAGTTGATAACATTGGGCAGGCAGCTAGAAGATTGCGAAGACAGGCGTGCTGAATATCTTGGTAAATTCTCTGCCACACCGCGCGACGTCTGGGGAGAACTTCCCCAGAAGACAGTGTCTATAGGCCCTGGCGCTGCGTGCGGGGACGGGCTGAACGCGTGTGGAGCTGGCCATTCATCCTAATAAGAGGAGAACGAAGCCGTCAAGACACGCAAACCGAAAGAACTACTTTTTACAGGCTTTCATTACACGGAGGCTTCCGCTACGCAGGATTCAGACAAAAGCGCGCCACATGCTACAACACGTACAGAACCCCCACAAGAGGCGCGCAGACACGACGCCAACTGTGTATCGGGTTGTGCGCGACGGAGACGCTCCCAACACACACAATATTGCTTTCTGTTGTTTACGAGAAAACGCGTATGTCTGCTATTTTAAATAGTGTCGTCCCGTGGACAATAACAGCTCTCCTGGCCACGGGTATATACTCAGAAAAGGCAGGAAGGGTACCTGTGGTGTGCGGTTTTTCCGGCAGACGAAGTGTATGCTCAAGCGCCGGCAATCCAACGACCAGCAGCGGAATAGCGGAGCGGACCGAGAGGGGCTTCACATGCAAGAGCCCGATTCGAGGCTTAACGTGTGGAATGGGTATCATAAAACACTATGTACGCAGAAAAAACACAGTGTGGCGAGAAGCAAGGAAAAAACGTACTTGCGTCAAATGCGTAGACTCGACAATCAAGCCTGAAGAGGGTGGCGCGCGGTCGCTATCGCGGTTGACGCCCAGGCCAGCGTACAGCAAAACTACTGCGGAACGTTCACCGGGGGAAGATACCAGTCCTATGCGACGCGGCACGGCGAGAGGTGTCTCCGTCCGTGTGGTTGAACTGGCCGGCCTACGCACACACCCCAGTTCGAGATATGCCGTCGAAAACGAATCGTCAAGTAGTGCCAAGGCAAGGGCATGCGACCGTACGTAGTCCTGCCGTGGCGACCGAGTGGCGGACGATCCAAAGCGGCGGACATGTTCGTGAGGAAACACACGGCCGCATCTCACCGTCACACAACTAGACATGTGCTGGGTGGTGCTCGTGACGGATAAGCAAGCCACCGAATGACCGCCCTTGAGCGTGCCATCCTCCCTTTCCCACAATGCTGCTACGGAAGAGGCGGAGCAGTTAGAACACATCAGAATACTGCCCTCCGCGGCGAGTTTCTCGCTCGTGCTGACGGCTGCATTACGATCAAGATGCTCTCCAGGGGCTTTACCCTGAAGTATGTACAAGTGTCGTTAGGTGACAGTGCACGTAAGGCGGAACGGCAGCAGCTGCCACACGCCAGGATACCCGAGGCTCACGCGTGCCTACCGGCCTGTGAATTAGGGACGTTCAAGACAAGTATGATAACTACCGCATTTAGGCACCTCTAAGCCCGTGGCCACATGAGCCGGGTGCATACGCCGTGATCCGCGGAGACGCAGCAGCTGCCTCCTCTTTTTGGGAGAGAAAACTGACGTAGCATGCCGAAGTGCATCTGAAATGCGGCGGACCAGCACAAACTTCCATGTTGTTCAAAGCCGCAGTGCCGCGAACGCACACCCGCTATGACATTTTACTGTGTGGAAAGAGTTTTGCGTCACGCACGTGCGTTGCAGGAGACTGTTGCACTTCCTTAAAAAACCGCGAAGGGACACGAGTACGTCAGGTAGCCGACATATGCAGAAGACTGGGACATCGAAAGCATTTTTGCCTCATGCGCGCTTATCGCGGGGCGCGCGTGGCGAGCCACTGGCCGGGCCGCATTCCCTACGCAGCCGCACTACAGACAATGCTGGCTACTCGAAGAGGATCACGTGTACTGTAGGTCAAATGATGTTGGTAGCAAAGCACTACGATATTGTACGGGGGCTCGAGCCAATGCAGCAGGATAGGGCTCGACAATGTGACGTATTGCAGCGCGGCGATTCACGTGATTTAGACTGTTTTCGTTCTTCTCTGAGGAATCCGTACGTGTGTCTGACGTTTGGGATCCTCCGCGAGCGGCTGCACAATTCATTCCCGGTGTAGAAATGCCCGTGAGCCGGTACGATATGAGCTTTCACCCCTAGTCTGCCGCATTTTGTGGCTCTTCAACGGCGTCGGCCTTTGAGCTGCGAGGTCGCACACTGCTGAAAACAGGGCGACCGGTGACGCATATAACGCAGACGGTCATCCGTAACGACATTTTGCTGTGCCTGCTATAGATAGTCCGCACGCCTGTGCAGTGAATTTAGACGCCTACCAGCGAAAAATACCACCTGTCTTCTCCGCGTTTATATCAGGGGTGGCTGGGACGCACTTACAGTGCAGGAAGTGCATCAAGGCTACTCCGCACCGCTCTCGGCGGGCTGCCACTCTTTGCTGACGTGTCACGTCGGCGCATCGGCGTAGGTTTCGTTTGCCACCATATTTTGAGTGTCGCCGCATAGGTCAGTGCGCTGTCTGGATTCGGTCTAGTCTACAGTTGTTTCAAAGAGCGGAAACGTCCAGCGCTTTGCCTGCTTTCAAAACACCCGCATGGGCAGCGGTTCAAGCGTGCCCTAAGGTTTCTGCCAGCCTCATGGCATTACTTACTCGTGGTCTCATGGTAATCACGACCGTTGACGCGTCACGTCTTGTTACCCAGGCGGGCGACGTCGGACACTGCGGAGGCGCTACTGCGACGAAAAACCTGGGATTCACGCGAATGGTTCACACCCTGATGTCTTCCCCTACACTGTAAACAGCCCACCGACGAGCAAACAGGTAAGCATCTTCCACCGGGGTCTCTCCCACGGCGCCAGAACTCGTAATATGTTTTGCAGTAACACTAGCAATGACGTTGGGACCGTGGGTGCTAATGCGCATAGCCTCACACGTAGTGGCACGCGCTGTTGGAGGCACTAAGGAGTGTGGGTGTTGAGCTGACAAGGGGAGCCGAGCAGCAACATTGCTGCACTCACAGGTGGTCGCAGCGAAGCGGCCTGTGGAGGCGAGCAGCATTACAAGGACTGACATGAGGGACGGAGACTACTCGTTCACCGGAAAAAAGAGCTGTGCCCCATAGTAGACAACTAACGTGTGCGCTCTCGTAAGGCATACGTCTAGGAGCTGCTGTTGAAGCCCTAGCAGTGGTGCTATGAGCGCGGGCCCTAATGCGTGTATTATCACACATGTGATCGCGCGCAGTACTGCTGCATTCACAGCTGTTTATGCGGAAGCTGCATCGAATGCCTAGCAGCAACACTACTGCATCTAGAAGTGGCTGCGTTTGAAGTGGCAAGTCGACGCGAGCGGCAGTACAAACACAGATATGGTACTGGAAAGTAGTTTGTGCTGGAGGGAGGAAGGACGGGCGCCCCAATAGCAGAGACTTAAAGCGGTCCACGTTCATATGGCATAGACGTCTCCGGCGGCACGCAAGCGACGCGCGCTCAACGTGCTGCGAAGTACAATATAGAGGGTCCGGATGCCGAGAAGCCGTACAGGTAAGGGCATGAGGGCGGGAGGAGCAAGGACCACGCCGGCATAATGGGGACATGGAGCTGTGCACACTGATATGGCACACACACGAAAAGTCTCCGACGGCACGCCACCTCCACAGACCACGCATGCTTCGACGTACTGCCCCCAGCGCAGGTTCTGGTTCTTCCCCCTCTGCCTGCAGCTCGTGGCTACAAGCACTGAGAAGCAGCGAGTGTAGTCCGCCTTCATCCAGACTGGCTGTCTGCGTTACCTACTGCTTTGCGCTCAGAAGAAGTTCCGGCACCAACCGATCCTTCTTCGCTGATTTTCTTCAGTTCCACAGTACACAGCTGCAGGGGCGACCAACGCGTTTTCATGCTTGCCCGCCTGTGCCTGCAAATCTTGCGTACGCGTACCACGAGCAGCAATCGGAGTCCGCCTTCCTCTGTGCTCACTGTCTGCCTTGCTTACTGCGGCGTTTGTTAGCCCAGCGTGTCAGCGCTTCAGAACCATTTCCCTCCCTCTCCACACCTGTGCGTGCCCCAATACCACGCGCGCGTGACTCCGTAGGAGCCGAAAAGCAGGATACGCACGCACCTGCATATATACCTTATACATACGTATATACATATATATACGTGATAAGGCAGCTACTGGCGGTCGCGCTACAGAAGTTCAAAGGTCGATGTGTGCCGCGACAATCTCCTTACCTCACCTTCCGCTGTTTCCTTTGACGTTCTACACACACTTGTGGGTTAGTCGCTTGTTTTGTATACCCCTGTTACTCCTGTCGTCTTCCCCGGGGCCGCTGCAGCTTGCTCCCTGGTTTTGCAGCAAACGGCGGCCCGACGCCGTTGTAGGGACTTCGTCTCCCCGTCGTGCTGCAATTGTTCGTGTGCAGACTGTCCGGGCGGCCGCATTGAGGAAACGCGTAAACGTTCAAACCTGAACATACGTAGCGAAACATTTCAATCTTCCGCCTGCAGCAGCCTGGAGTCACTACTACTGCCGCATCAAACGGCGCGAGTCCCGACGAGGATGACGCTGCGCGCGATAGCCGTAGGGCGAAGGTGCGTGGACAGTCTTACAAAGGCGTTCGCACTCTGTGCTTTCCTCTTCTCTTCCATGTACTTCTCGTGTTCCAATTATTGATGCCTACGCACGACTGGCGTGCGATTCCCTCAGAGCATACCGTGGCCTGAGCCGCCCGAATCCCGATTATCAAAGCTGTTGCAGCACCAAGGCCTCCGCCACCCACTACCGAGCCTCTCGATACAAAGCTGTGGCGCGAGGTCGAGCCCATGTTTGTCGCCGTGAGGGAAAACAAGCGAATCTACTGTGTATGTGATGCAGTCCGAGATGTAGCAGCATTCAACAGCAGTGCATTCGCCTAGATTTCTGTGCGGAGAAAGAAATCAGACTACGACGGGACGTCTAGCTCGGCTTCCCGACTTGAGAACGCCTTGTCTGTGGCTACGATGGTGGACACGCGGTTGTGCCATCGATGTGATCTAGCGAGATTTAGACGCAAATAGCAGGCTTGCAGTCCCCTAAGACTTCTGTGTAGACGAAGGCTCCAATCTATTGCGGGAGGCGTAGCTCATCTTCATGGCTCGGAGAGATGCTGTTTGCCACTGTAACGGTGAACAAGCGGTTACTATAGGGGTGACCGTCCTCGAGACCCAAGCGCAAACGACGAGCCTGCAGCCCGCGCGGAGTTCCGTGCGGAGGAGGCTTCGTACACCGCCATCTGTTCCTTAAGCACGCACTGTGGTATATCTGATGTTGCACACCTGACCGTGTCGCGTTTCCCGGATGCATTCGCATGAAGCCACGACAGCTTCTCAGCTCTATTACAAGAACCCCGTATACATCTGACGGTCGTCTTCTTCGCTTCCGTACCGCTATCGCTATACACACACACACGGTTGCATCCATCCCCCCCCTCCTCGTGCGTCGGTGAGTGTGCCCATGTGTTTTCGGCAAGGCGCACAAGACTGGCTAGACACTTACACCTGCGCTAGAAGAGTTCTGTCTACATCTCGCGGCCTTATTATCCGGTCTTTGGACTGCGTTCCCAGATACCATTCTCCTGTAGCCGTCCTTCGGAGGATAGAC